AAATGAGTGTAGGTGAGCATGACAGTGATGGACTGCAGGGAGGGGAGGCCAGGCCCCTGGACTCGAGGACAGACATGACTTGGTTGTGGGAAAGCCCTAACTGGGCCAGACCCCTGTACCCACCCCAGACATGTAATCTACATACTACACTGTCCCTTTTTACACCATCTGCCAAGAGCCACTCCCCACTTCTTTTGGAAAGTCCTCCCTGTGACTTGTAAAGTGCTCACAACCCTAACAGTGAGCCATGGTCCAGATCAGGCTGGCCACAGGGCCCTTGCCATTCTGTCTGCAGCAACTGGCCCAACAAATGGGTGACAATCCAAACCATCGCATCATAGTCCTCTTGTAAAACCAAAGCTACTGGGAAGATGTGAGACCAGGAGTGGTCAGATTTCCCACCATCCGCAGTATCTCTTCCATGGAAGAGAAGACAGGCAACTGATCCAGACTGGCGGAGACGGAAGACGGTCGGGAGGTTTGCCAGAACCTTTAGATGCATGGATACCAGCTCCACCAGTGCCAACCCGGCAATCTCCTGCCTATTCAGGAGCCAGTATATTCCCCAGTTTTCCATGGTCGTTGAGTAGGACATCTAAAGCCAGCCACCAAATGAGTTCTGATACACAAATGTGACTTGCTGTGTGACCCACTAAGCTCAGTGCCACAGAGACATCCAGATGCTCTGGGGCGTGCAGTGACCAAAATGCAAGGACAGGGAAGGAGACACCATGTTGGGACACCAGAAGACCAGGATAGGGACAAAGAAACATTGAGGTAAAACAGTGGACTAGTGTAACGGCACAAACGGGTGCTATCATGGGACTGTGGAGCACTGAGACGGAATATTACAGAGGGAAGGTATAGCAGCAGTAAGATAGAATTTTAAAACATTATGATAGTTCACAGGAGGCATTGTATTTTAAGAATAGAGCACTGTTTGGGAATAATGGAGCACTGACATGAGACAGTGGAACTATGGCAGAGGTAGAGCACTGTGATGGGATGTGGAGCACTCTGATGGGACAGTGGAGCACCGCAAAGGGAGAGTATAGCATTGTGAAGGGACAGTGATTAGACAGGCGAGCACTGAATGGTACATTGGACAGCCGCGTCAAGACAGTGGGGCCTTGTGGCGGTGTTTTGACGGACAGTGGAAGTTTCTGATAATACAGGGGAGCACTGTGATGGAGCGGTGGAGCACTGTGATGGAGCAGTGGAGCACTGTGATGGAATGGTGGAGCACTGTGATGGGATGGTGGAGCACTGTGATGGAGCGGTGGAGCACTGTGATGGGACGGTGGAGCACTGTGATGGAATGGTGGAGCACTGTGGTGGGACGGTGGAGCACTCTGATGGAATGGTAGAGCACTCTGATGGAATGGTGGAGCACTCTGATGGAATGGTGGGGGTTGGTGAAGGGATGGTGGAGCACTGTGGCGGGGCTCAGAGGAGTTTGGGGCAAAAGGATCATGAATACATGGTCCATCTGGCTTGCACAGCGAGTCTGAGGCCTGTCCGTACAACTTAGTAATATTCTATCTTAAAACGAATTTTTAAAGGAGGGGGGGGCTGGGGCATAGCTCAGTGCTACTATTCCTGCCCTGCATGTCCAACGCCCTGGGTTCAACTCCCACTACAACAAAAATAATTAAATGACTTCTTTATCATATAAGTCAAATATTAAAATTTTTCAATTAAAGAAAAATAGCAGTGCTAACAGTGGACTCTGGAATGCCAACAAAACATTAAGCAAACGTTTGTTACTCCCTGCCATGCTCAAATCAACATGTGTGTGTGTGTGTGTGTGTGTGTGTGTGTCTGTGTGTGTGTCTGTGTGTGTGGGTGTGTGTGTGTGTGTGTGTGTGCGTGTGTGTGTGTGTGTGTGTGTGCGTGTGTGTGTGTGTGTGTGTGTGCGTGTGTGTGTGTGTGTGTGTGTGCGTGTGTGTGTGTGTGTGTGTGTGCGTGTGTGTGTGTGTGTGTGTGTGCGTGTGTGTGTGTGTGTGTGTGTGCGTGTGTGTGTGTGTGTGTGTGTGCGTGTGTGTGTGTGTGTGTGTGTGCGTGTGTGTGTGTGTGTGTGTGTGGGGGGGTCTGTGTCTGTGTGTGTCTGTGTCTGTGTGTGTGTGTGTCTGTGTGTGAAAGTGTGTGGTTCTGTGTGTGGCTGTGTGTGTGTGTCTGTGTGTGTGTGTCTGTGTGTGTCTGTGTGTGA